ATATACCATCTGGTAAATTAGACTTGAGATCATAATCTTCAAAAAGTCTTTTCCTTTCACTTTTAATATAGTATCCGGGGGTAATAATAAAGCTGTTGAACTGGGCTTCCTCTTTTCCTGCGATTACACTATTGCATCATGGGATACTATTTTTGTTGTTGTTTAAACAACTAATTTTTCTATTGTTACCTATATTTATACAATAAAAATGAGAATATTTGATATCTCCGATCTGCTCTAGTTGGCAGTTGGCGGAGCTCAACCGTGAGTCGTGAATCTGATTGGTTGATTAAAATGCCTTGGTTATCCTATGTTTAACACAGAATAGTACATCTGTTACTGGCTTTGAATATTTTAACATTGTTTATTTAGTTAATTTTTAAATTACGCAAATTTGAGAGCTGTATCTACATCCGCTTTCTTCAAATTCAGTCTCTTGTTCCAATATTGTTTCCAAGTTTACTTATGTCGGGATCACACTTTTAATATTTCAACATCTGTTTCGTATTTAGTTGGCTAATACAATACCGCCCTCAGTCAATCCACCGCTCCATCGATGATCGAGTTAGGAAATAAACTGAAAGTTATTCCAATAATTATGATTTATGTTCAATATTTATCTCCCATATCTATTGTATTATGTTACTGAATACTCTTGTCATTTACAACTCAGCGTTTTTGGCCTTTCTTTTTAGTTGTAATATCACACTTTGTACACGGTTCAGCTAATTTACATGCAGTTTACATTCGCATTTTTGTGATTACATTATGGTGACAGTTTTATAATTTTCATAACATAAAGGCAATATTTACATACCCGGTACAATGACCTGTTTACTCTACATAAATATTAAGATTTGTCAGATTTAGATTTCTCCAGAAACTTGTGTCAATTTGTATACATTAATAAATTAATTAATCTGTGATATATTGTACTTATGGGCTACCATACTTAGGCCACACTGATTTAATTTTATGGATGACATTCTCTGGAGACCCCAAAACTAATGCGAGAGGGCGAAAAAAAAAATCCTGCCAAAAAAAAAAATGCTGCTAAAACCACAGGACTACGGAGCTGTTATTACGAATTGAACCACAGTGTATCAAAAAAACAACAATAAGTCTTTATTTGTAGGAGGCACATGCTGATGTACACATTTCGTACTATATTACTGTCACAGGTATCTTCACCATTGATTTTGAAAAGGCAAGAGGATAAGGCAGATGTTAGCTTTGCCAAAGGCATACACATCAACTCAATAATAAAGAAAAACTTACTGTGTTGTATTAAAAAAAAAAAATTTAATTAAAAATGAACAATAAGTTTGTCAACAGCAACCTGGAAAACCTTCTTTGACATTCAAACTACAGCTTTTAAAGTGACACTTCAGATAGACTAAGTGTAAACACAAATGCTCTAGAACTACTTCAACTATGTAACAAATTATAAGAGGCTCGATATTGAAAAAAAAAACATCAACAGAGAGTCAACAAAAATTTGGATGCAGAAAATTATGTACATGTATCTTGATAAAAATTTGTTATATGATCAAAATATTACTGACTCAAATTATCCGAATCAGAAAATGAAAAAAAAAATAATAAGAAACTTTTCTTCACCCCGAAAGGGGACTTCGGCCGAGGAGCTTCCGCTGCTTTCGTTACAGTTTTGTCGACTTCAATGTGAACAAAGTAACCGAACTGACTTGTCACCTGACCGACCTGTCACTCTTCTCCCATTTCTCTCATCATTGCAGAAGAAACGCGGGACAGCCACTCTGGACAATATGTTCTTAAAGTTGTCTGGGCGAAACTCGCTTGCAGCTACTGATCTCTCGTATAGCTGTGTAAACGTCACATCTTCCTGGCCAACGTCAATTGCGTACCAGTCTACAACAATCCCTCCGTTTTACCTCTGAACTTTTATGCTCACGTATTTTGGTGGTGTGGTCGCCATGTTGGATTTTATGACACAATTGGCATGTTTTGAAACAATCTCCTTCCTGTAGGTCTTTGCGCTTTACGTAACACGCATCTAACTGTGCGGAGTTTGGTTTTGAGGTAGTCCAAAACGAGTTTTACGACAAGTCGGCGCTTTGCGACAATATGAGTCAGCAAGTTCCGGACAGAAAACCGATCTGTGGAGACTCGTCATCGAAGATTTTTTATATAATTTTTATATGTTTGATGACTTTATGTTTGTTTATACGCACAGACTATAACAATGTTCTTGACTATTGTTTTGTTTTGTTTTGTTTTGTTTTGTTTTGTTTTTAGATAAAAGTAATTGCTGTGAATGATCAGCTTGATGTGGTCCATGAATCAGCCGTACAGTTTGATGTGGATTTACCAGAATTCAGGTGAGATCAGTTGATTCTGTTGTTGCTAAGCAACCACACACAATTATGTCTGTTATTGTCAATGTACCATAAACTTACTTTAATTTCATATGAGAAAAGTTTCTGTGAATTTCAAAATTCAGTAAAAATCTTGTTTTTTTTTTGTTTTTTTTTTATTTGTTTTTTTTTAAATCTTGTAATATTGTGGCATTGATGTTCTGCAACACCAAATGAAAATGATGAAAATTAATTTGAATATTAAATGCTTTACAATATTTTATTAATATTTTGATACCAATTTTGTTTCTATCATTTTTATTGTAATTTTTATTTTTGCTTTCTTTGTTTTAATTACAAGATTTCGTAGTCTGCAAGGCTTAGATTTATTTGTCAGTATTAATTTGTTGAATTTAATTTTGGTTTTCCTGAACAGTAAATACAGTCAAACCTGACTTAGTGTCCACCTATAACCTTTTCACCACCAGTTCCCTCTTTTCATCACCAATTCACAAAATAGTCCCGTTTATAGTTTATACTTTCCTTCAGAAGATTGCGACAAAATAAGCTAGATTTTTGAGTAAAATCTGAAAATTTACATAAATTTCCAAAATTATGGTTCATTCCCAGAAATATTTTAGAATATTAGAAACAACGCTTTTATTTTGGCGATTATGGTAAGTCTGGTGGTGAAAACGTTAAATCAAGACACCACAGCCTTTTTATTGACAATTACTGAATTAATTTGTTATTTGATCTTTTACTGGTCTTTGAACACTTCACTAAAAGTAGAGACTGTAAAACAGTTAACGAGAGTCATAATTAGGTTTGTTTAGTATCCTTCTACAGGATCAGCTAATAAATCAATGTAGCATTATTTGAAAACATTGCATTTTGGGTAATCAGGTGACATCCTGACCAGGTATTATTACTGTGAAATGCTTTATTTTAGCTGGGATTAATTTTCGCTGAAAAGACTTTTAAAGTGTTTTGTATGGAATTTTTTTTCACTAATTTTTGGCGAGTTGAATGTAAGATATAGGAAAAAAGGTATATTCGCTGGATTTTATTTTCACTGAATCATTACTTCAGCAAAAATTAATTCCAAGCGAAAATAGAGTATTTTACAGTAGTAGATCTTAGTGTTTACTGTGATCAAATTATAATTTCATACACTTAGCACTGAGAACTGAAGATATAACTTTTCTCTGTAAAGCGCTTTTTGGATTCATTTGAAAATGTGTTTTCAGATTGTAACATTTGTACATTTCTATGTTTAGAATGGAGGTGGCATGTATACCATGTTATGTTCATATTATACCCTCATATTATACCCTCATATTATACCCTCACTTAGTAAGATAATAAATTTATGTCAAAATAATTCAGTTTACTAATAATCTAATAAGTTTATTCTCTCAATTAGGACACAAGGGGGCGCTCACACACATGATGACAAACTGACCGTAACCTCACCCACTATAATGTGGGTTAAAGCAATGGACATGGTGTTGGATAAAATGAAAGAAAGAGGGTTTGATTTTCATCGAGTTGTGGCTCTGTCTGGTACAGGACAGGTAAGGATTATGTTGATTTCCAAGCAGTTATTAATAATTTATTGAATTATTGTTACATATCAAACATTTATAACATTGTGTGTTCTGTTTCCATAGCAACATGGCAGCGTGTTTTGGAAAAATGGAGCTAGTGCAATATTGAAGAATTTAGAGCCCGGCAAGCCTCTACATGAACAATTAAAAGTAAGACCTCAATTTTGAATGTTTTATTTGTTGTATTTTTATCTTTTTGGATTGAATGTCTTGAATTGTATAGTTTTATACACTAAAGTAGTTGCTTAATTTATGTAGTATACTTAAAAAAAGATATCAATGTAAAACACAAAATATGAATTTGTGGGGCTACTAATTTTGAAAAATGGTAGACCTAGTAAATTAAACTAGTGTGCTTTCTTATTTAGCTCATTCTGATTGTAGCATTATGCTAGCTTAGTTTGCTTTCAAAACCATCACATATCTAAATTGTACAAAGAAATCTACCAAAATATGTCTCACATTATTAACATAGGTAAATGCTATTTTGAATTATTCAATTACTATAAAAACTGTTATAGGTCACTGTCATGACCCCTAAAGGTCACACATCCTGGTACCTTTTCATGACACTAGAGGTCACAGATCCTGGTACTTTTTCATGACCCTAGAGGTCACACATCCTGGTACTTTTTCTTGACCCCTAAAGGTCATACATCCTGGTACTTTTGTTAGTATGACAACATTAAAACACACACAATTTGAGCGTTTTAATGAAATTTTTTGTTCCTAACAGAAACATTTTACTCAAGCAGCTAAAACTTGTAAATTGTGTTTAAATATCTAGAAACTAAACTTATTTTTGTTTCTTATACCAAAGAACGTACCAGGATGTGTGACCTTTAGAGGTCATGAAAGTGACCTCCAATAAGTACAACATACAAAAACTAGCCCAAAATACCATTTTTTGAGAGTTTTGTTTCCATCAGTGATGGTTTCCAGGCACAGAAAATGCCGAATGTCTGCCCTAAGAATACTTGTATAACAAACTACATATATTGGACATATCTAGGATATATTCAGGATATTTGGAAAGTATGTAATATATGTTCTCTTCAGCTCTTTTTGGCTCCGCTGTCGACTTTGTCGAGCGCAGCTCATCAAATGAGTGATTGTCCATCGTCATTGCCCGTCGTCCGTGTCAATGTTTTACTTTTTTGACTTCTTCTTAAAAACTACAAGCCTGAATGCTTTGATACTTGGTGTATATGTACCTTGGGTAGTCCAATTGCTTTGATATTACATATATAGGTACTATATGTGGACCTCTCTCAGATTTGTTCATTTTGTAATGATATCTTTAATTCTCTATTTTCATGAATATTTTTGTTATTTTTGGTAAAAGTGATATTTTTGACTTCTTGTTAAA